GTCTGAGGCAGTGACCTTAGTTGAGGCTAATAAGAGATCGACCAAAAAACACTGAAAAAGGGAAAAGTGGTCAAAGAGATGTTTATAAGGGGCTTTGGAAAATACCAACATAAAACTAGAAGTCTAGAAATCTTTGAGAATGTGCAGGCCAGTTTGTTTTGCCAAAAAGGTCCTAATTTTCTATCTTTGGTTGATTGCAAGGCTGTGCAAGAGCAAGAAGTGAAGGCTAAGCCAGAGCTGTAAACTGCTCACCAGTGCAGTTCAAGAAGTTGAATGAATTCTATGTAGAATAAATCAAAGAGATCCATACCTCAACATGTCATGGTCACGCTTACAAGCAGTAAAAGTGACACATCACTTCTAAACAACTCTTTTTTGTTTTTGATACCGAGGGATCAAACTTGGGCCCTTACACTCGCAAGGCAGGTGGCAGAACCAAAGAGCTAAATCTCTGGCCCATAAGCAACTCTTAATTAAGATTAACTTCCCTCAGAAATGACAGAGGCCAGAAGGTGGAACCATGATATACTGAAAATACTGAAAGAAAAAAAAAAATCCACCACCTGTAAATTCTATCTCCAGTGAAAAGCTGAAAAAAGAGAAAATAATACATTCCCAGACAAACAACTGAGAGAATTTGTCTCCAGTAGACCTGTTTTCCAAGAAATACTAAAGGAAGCCCTTCAGGTTGACGTAGATGATAACTGAACACCAGTAAAGATAAATACACAGAAAATATAAAAGACTCTATAAATGTGTTTTTGTTTGTAACTCCTTTCTTCTCCCATATAATTTAAAAGACAACTGCATAAAGTGATAATTATTCAACTGCTGATAGGCGTGCATTGTAGAGAGGTGCACTTTGTATGACAAATACTAACAAAGGAGAAAGAAGAGAATGAAAGTATATATTGGATCACAGTTTTTAAAAAAATATACTTTTTGAAATTAACTGTTAATTCAAACTAGATTGTTTTAATACTCTGAGGCAACTACTATGAAAATAAACACTACAGAATAACGGAACAAAACAATACACTAGGAATTATACACAAGAAGTTAGTAGTGGAAGAATGAAGGAATAAAAAGAACAGAAAACAAATACAAAAATAGTAAGCCTAAGTCCTTGTGTAGCCAGTGCTGGAGCCTGAATCCAGGGCCTCGCACATGCTGAGCAAGAGTTCTACCACTGAGCTATGCTCTTAGCCCTCAATGAGTCCTACTTCATCAGTCCTTACATTAAATTACATCAGTGATTACATTCTAATCAAAAGGCAGAGATTGGCAGAATGAATTAAAAGAGAACATGATCTAGTCTCTGTAAGGAACACATTAGGATTAACAATATAAAAAGGCCGGACAGAAAATGATGGGAGGATGTGCCATGAAAAAATTAAACAAGAGCAGGAATGGCTGTACAAATACGTGACAAAACAGCCTTTAGATGAAACTTACTGGAAACAAAGCAGGATAATTGTAACAATGAAAAACCAATTCACGAAGAATACATAATAATTATTAACACATATGCATTTAACAACAGAGCCTAAGTCCCAAAGTACAAAGCAAAATAGAGAACACATTAGTAACAACTGTAGATTTTAATAACCGCACCCACTTTCAGTCACGGATAGAACCACCAGGCAGAAAAGTAACAAGGAAACAGAAACACTGGACAGTCTGATTACCTAAACCTAACAGCAATGTATAGAACACCAACAACAGAGTACATTCTTCTCATGTGTGCACGAGACATTCTCCAGGCTAGATCATATGTTGGGTCACAAAACCTCAATAAACTTCAAATGTCTGAAATCAAATAAAGCATGTTCTCTAGTTACTATGCACTAAAATCATTTCCTCATCTGTGAAAGATAGTACTTTTTAACTGAGAAGGGGATAAAAGAATCCAGATTCCAAGCACCCAGCACAGGGCACAATAAATAATATGAACTAATTACTTGAATGTTTTTCTTTGCCTTGTAGCTAGAGTATGGCAAATGAAGAGTTAACTTACTTACTTCTTGATAATTCGAAAGAACAACAATTTAGAATTGGTGGCAGATTATATAACTGGTGTTATCTCGGTATTGAGAAAACACAGTATCCTAACCCCAATGTATCTACCACTAATACAGCTGAAAGCTGAATGATGGACTGTCTTAGCAATAAAAACTAGCTGTTTACAACTCAATAAAACAAGATAAATGACTACGGATCTACTTGGATTTTCTTTAGCAATAGGCTACTAGAGAGACTGCATGAATGTAAGTGACTTTCTTCATTTAGTCTGTATCAGAGAAGCAAAATCAGGCTACATTGTTATGAGTCAAATCTAGTCAAGGTGTAAAGCTCGACTTTATACCGCCTCGGTTCAGATTCTAGTTCTGACTGCGTATGCCTGATTTCAGTTGTTGTGACAGACTCCAAATGGCTCAAAAAGCCTAAAATATTTACTGTGAGGCCCTGTAGTTAAAAAGTCTGGTGACCCATAACCTAATAACTAAATAATCCTTGGGTGGGCCTGGCAGATGATATTCCAGGAAAGACACAGGAAAAACATACAGTTGCCCTTTTATTTCTAAGTTTGTATTGCTTTCAACATGACCAATCTTGTTGCATCTATAAATTCTACCAGCCCTCCTCCTTTAATTGCTTTGGAGCAATGCCAAGACATACATCATATTTCATCTTTAAGTCTCTTTGCAGTGTAGTTTAAGACAAGTAATACTAAGGACAGCACTTATCTTTTTTTGTAAGTATAAGAATAGCCATGCTGTTAATTTTCCTTTTAATTCTACTATGCAACTTGTAGATTGACCTCTGCATTGTTTAAGGCTTTTACAAATGGGAAATTTTATTTTTCCCCTACAATAAGGACAATGGAAAATTCAGTTCTTCAGGAGTTCTTCCCACCTTTTTTTTTTTTTTTTTTTTTAACTGACCATTAGGGAAGCAATAGCTAATATAGAATTGCTAAAACTTCCTCTGGCAGATTTGCTGATTCTTTAGTTAAAATTAGAGATATTTGCTCATTAAAGATGCTGCTTTAGGACTGTTTTAAAGGATGAGAGGTAGCTTGGTTTGGGACATTTTGCTGCTACAGCTTCACTTCTCTCCCATTCTCATGTCCACTGTTCTCCCATCTCACTCCACAGCCTTCTAAATGAGCACATCTGCTTTTTCTTTATAGTGACTACACTTGCAAATGTTAAATTTTAAAAAGATCAAAGCAAAAGCTCTGATTTGCATGCCCCTTTAAAGGAATTGCTCTCCTCTGGGGCCTGAAGCCCTGTCCCTCAGCCCCTTGGTCCAGCAAAGTGATGAGATCTGGCTGGTAGAAAACAATCTATGCCCACTCTGTCCCCACCTTGTACACAGTCACACTACCTCTTGTTGGTGGCCTAATTGGAATCAATAAAGCAAAAGAGGTTATCTGGTTGGAAAATCTTGTCAGAAGTAAAAGACATGAGACTGAAAATGTATGGAGATATATTGAGCAAGCAGCAGTCTTTTCAAGGTTTTAATGATACAAAAGGCAATTAAAAAGGCAGACTATTTTCTAGGATACATAACTCACTCTTTAGACTGTCATTTAGTTAAAGGAAAATGGTAACAAGTTTGAAATATTCTGCAGATAGGGATTTTTAAGAGATGAAGAAGTTTAATGATGAGATTTTAAAAAACACATATATACATTCATAAATAATTTAAAAATTATTTTTTTTCCTAACACTCTCAAGAAACTCAAGTTTGAGAACCAAAGAACCACTTGACCATCCCAAAGGTCATAAATAGTACAACATAGGCTTGTCTTGTCATACACAAGGAGTTAAGAACCTTTTTTTTTTTTTTTTGGTACCAGGGATCGCACTTGGGTCCTTGGGCTTGGCTTGCAAAGCAGGCGGCAGAACCACTGATCTAAATCCCCAGCCTAGAACCTTTGTTTTCTGCTGTGCTCAAGAGCCCCACGAGGGTCCTTTTTTTCCTAGCTTACTAATGATCGATACAAGTTGCATGAAGAAGCAAAAGAACACATGGAGAATTCTTGTTAAGACTCTAGCATGGGTTATCAGTCAAGTCTGCATTGCGGGTATAAACTGGTTCCCAAGCTCCTGTACCAGGGTCTACGTGGAAGATTATCTCCAAGGTCACAGTGTATTTTGTTGACACCCTTTCTCTCTCTTCTCTTTCCTTCCTTTTTCTCTTTCCTTTTCTATCTCACTCTAGAGATTGAAATTGGGGCCTCACGCATGTGATGCAAGCTACACCTCGAGCACTCCGTAATTTACATTTTTAATCATTTTATCCCAAGTCTCCCACAGTCAGGATCTCCATACCTTATTTCAATTTATATTGCTGTTTTAAGTTGTCCAGAATGTAGTGGCTTAAAAAAAAAACTCATCATATTTGTTCATGGTTCTATGGTGCAGGAGTTTCAGCAGGGCTCAGTGGGGATGGCTCTTCTCTGCCCTGCAATATCTGTGGCCTCAGCCGGAATGATCTGGACAAGGGAAAGTTGATTGGGCCTATTTTTTTCCATGGTTATCACCTGGTGACTCAGCTGGGGGGGCTTGAGACTGGAGATGTCCGCTTCTAACGTTTGAGCACTTTAGCTCTCCCACTGGGCCTTTTCATCACTCAGTAATCAAGTCTGACATTTATAGGGAGGCATACTCTTGGCTTCCAACAGTGAAAGCATGTGCTATGATACTTTGAGGGATCTCAACTTGTAAGTCTTAAAATGTCACTTCAGAGTTCCATCAATCAAAGCAAGACACAAGCCAGACCAGAGTCAAGGGGTGAGGAAATAAATCTGACTTCTCTGTGGGGACAAGAACTTGCGATCAGACACTGGAGGCATTATTGGTGGCCATTTTTGGAAAAAGATCACCACTCTTTCAAAAGCTAACTGGATAAAGTAAGTACGACTCCTGAGAGGATGTCAGAAGACTCTTCCAACTTCCACAGAGATATCCTTCAGGTCCAGGACCTGAGACTAACCCTTTCCATTGGTTTCTATTACTGAGCAGAGGATGAGGAAGAATCAGAAGCATTAAGGTACAGATGAAAGTGAAAGAGCTTGGGAAGCCTGGCAGTAAAATCATTCTAGCATGACTGTCTTTTATTGTTCTAAGTTTCAGATAAACTGTAATATACATTTAGCTTTTTTTTGCAAATTAATACAGTGGTCCTCCTTTATTTGTAGTTTTCTCTTTCATCATTTCAGTTACCTGTGGTTAACTGCAGCCCAAAAATATTAAGTGAAAAATTCCAAGAATAAACAATTCATAACCTTTATTAACTTGTTAAAATTGCTCAATGTTATTAGTCATTGTGAGTAATCTTACTGTACTTGGTCTATAAATCAAAAACTTTATCATAAGTATGTACAGAAAAAAACATAGCAATTGTTTCAGTACTGTCTACGTTTTTAGCCACTAGGAGTCTAGGAAAATATTTCCCACTGATAAGGGAGAATGCTTGTACTTTTATCATTTCTAAAAACATTTTGTTGACATCTTCTAGATTACTTTTAACTTATGGGATTCTACAGCAAAGCAGAATTAGCATTGTTTGATGCCTCACCCCAAGTGTTAGGGTAACTTGTCTCTATAAGACAGTACATTTTACCAATACTTTGTAAGAATTTAAAGTGCTCAAGTGATTAGGGAAGTCTTGATTTGTACTGCCTCCAGCAAGATTAGACACTTGCCTTCTTACTTAATAATCCCTCTTAGGAGTAATTCTTTTCTCTGAATTGTTGGTGTGTTTATACATGCTGTATGCATGGTAGTTCTGCTACAGACATAGTTGACATGTCTTGGCCCTCACTGGTACTCTGTGAAGGCTTACAGTACTGGCAACCAACCCTTCCTCTTTTTCATTCTGAGTCAGCATTTATAGATGATAACCTCACACTAATTCAGGATGCTCCCGTACCATTCCATCACACAATATGAAGAAATTTCACGGTGGATTCAAATAAGAGATCCAAAAGTTTTGCTAAAGATGTCCTATGTACATATATATAGTATTTTATTTTAAAATGTCATTGAACATATACAGTTCTTTAGCTTTTCCCAGGGGACATTGCACCTAAATTTTAAAACACACAAAATAGATCCCCTTTACTAAACAGTTTTCATTTTTGGGTTACAAAAGTCAACGTTTCACAATCACAAAGCATAAAGGTACATGGTTCTGAAACCATTTTCAGGCAGATTGCTCTTAATTCACTGTAGGCAGGGTAGTTTTGGAAACGCAGACCATAACATATGTATTCCTTACAAACGATCTTCACCATGGGCCTCCTCGAGTCTCCAAAGATACAAAGAAGTCTGGAGGCAAAATAGGAGTGAAAAGAATCTAAGGACTCCCCAAACAAACATAAAGTACTCATAGGTGATCACAAAAGTAGAGGACACAAGGCTCTCCTTCAGGTACATCACAGTGGAAACAACAACACATGTACAACCTTATTTGGTCAATGTCTACCTGGTTGCTACATGAACAAAACTTTATCTAAGACACACAGAAAAAATGAAAGCTATTTACACAAATGATACTGTGGATCAGAAAGAGCAGTCTTTCCCAAACTGACACATCTGCTGAAGAGCCATGGGGCTCACATCAGAAACGAGTCAGGGTACTCACGTAGTGTCCTTTGAAAATCCCAGTGTATATATATTGGTGAATGCCATGCAAAACCCAAGTTTTCGGAGAGGTGGGCTGTGCTGTGCAGGCTGCTCCACTTCTCCACTCTTGTATGTCATCAAAATCCAAGTTCTTAACGTAAGACTCTGTTTTACTCTTTGCTTAAATCTGGTAACTTTTAGGGTCAGTCTGGTTTGCATAGACAATGAATCTCACTGCTTTCTCCATTTGCTCCAGAAGCACTAACCTACTTAAATGAAAATCCTATCAAAGCTTAACATATTCTGAAAAAGGTGGATCTCTTAAGGAAAAGTTAGATCCTCAAACTGGTGGAAAGAAAACCACTACTGTGGCCTTACGGTTATGGTGGATAAGCAGATGAGGAAGGAGGTAGGAACGGAGACAAGGAAAGGGACAGCAAGAGGAGGATCCGACTGATAAAGATAAGGGAGACTTTCCCCAAGTGATTCCACACTGGTGTTTCTGGTACACTGAAAACCTTGTCCAAATGGCTAACATGTGGGTCTAAATCTGGGTCCTGGGACTCATTCTTGCCCACCAATACCTACTTATGGCTGTAATTCCTCCCTCAAGATAAATAAATACTGACAGAAGAGAGTGAGAGACTGTGGGCACCGCTGACTTCACAGAGGTAAGTTGCTAGGAATTTTAAAAATGAACACTCCAGACTCTGCAAAGCTGAATACTGTTGAAAAGAATGGAAGTTCTCACTTTTTAAGCTCCCATTAGATTGGTAAGTGCTTAGCCTAGACACATTCTCAACTCTTTTTTCCTGCCTCGGAAGCAGGAGTTTCTGCCATAGCAGAACTCCCTCCACCTGACTGCTGGCACCGCCCTGACTCCTGATGTTACAAGATGAAGTTTTGGTGGGGTTGTCTGGCAAGATGCTGTAGAGGATGGCCGGACTGTGAGTTCACACTCTAAGGAAGAGTGTTGCCAACTAGTTCAAAGACCAGGGATCAGCCTAGCAAAGAGATTTTGAGCTGAAAGAGCCTTTCAATAAAGGTAACCCCCAGGACAACCATAAAGACCAAGCTAGGAAATCAAACACTTTCAATTACACAAGACTTCCTCTGAGGCTATCAGGACAAGCAGATTTGGGTATAAGTCAGATACACAAGATTTCAGAACCACATATAAATACGTTCTGCAGAATTCTGAGTGAGCTTTTTGACCTTTCCAAGAATGCTCCAATGGCTAAGCTGTTACATAGATGGTTACTATTGTGGGATGGGTAACTTGGGCCCTGGGTGAAAAATAAGGCCAAGTGGAATAAGCTCAATTCACAGAGCAATATCAGTGCTGGGTAGCCCTGCCATGGGCATTAACAAATTACTTTTTCAGCTTTTGATTTATACACCTCACTTATAGTCTTTCTTCTATCCCCCAAATACAAACATGGCTTTAGATTGCTATTATAATCTTTCTATCCAAGAATACTTAAGAAAAGAATTCCTAGCTACCTTTGTTACTAAAACCAGCAGGACTAAATGCTCAAGGTTTTAGGATTATTTAAATGAGAGGTTTCCAGAGTTTTTCCTGAGACATGCCTTGGCAGTAAAGGAAATGGTGAACTGAATAGAAAGTTGTCAGGACATCTGCATTGAAATTCTGACTCTGAGAACTTATGAAAGACTGGAGAAGATCAAGGTAGGGCCCAGAGAGAGGTCCAGTATAGCAGAAAATAAGGGCAAGGAGGAAGAGGAAGAGAAGAAAGAAGAAGTAAAAGAGAAAGAAAGAGGGAGGAGAAGAAAAAGAGGGCAGCAATGGGAAGGATCCCAAAGAAGGCAGCACGGGGTCCTCATGAAAGACTTTTTCAAGTTTCCAATTTCTATGTGACTTTAAGAATCAGTGCAGGAGCAGAAGGGGGACCACACTGTTGTATGGTGCCTGAGAGTGTTCCCATGGCATCATATTCTGCCAGGGAAGAAAATGATTTACCACAGACCACTGCTAAGAGAGATGTTTGGGGGTAGCTAAAGTTTCCTGAAGAAGTGGGGAATGCTGTCTGATGAAAAGGGCTCCCGACAAGGTAAAAGCCCATTTCTTCTCAGGCAACATGTTGGCAAACACCTGATGGAGAAAGTTCCCATAGTATTTTACCTGCCAGACAGGGCATTGATTCAACACTGTGCAACAAGTTCATTCCTGAGCAGGAAGGTTCCAGATCTGTCCTACAAAAATACCTACAACTCCAGGGAAGTAGGTGACTTACTACCTGGAGGAAAGGTTCCTATCCTCTCCTCTGGGATAGGAATTTAAACAAACACAAGAGCTAGAATTGACTGTCCAGCACTTTTGTGGAGTCACACAAATGACCTCCATCTTTATTGGGTTGGGAGAGTGTTGGAATTACACAAAATGGTGATGATACCCCATAAGGCCTATAAAGACAGAAGTATGCATTTAAATGCTCTACAAGGTCCTCCAGTACACAGGAGCAATCTCCCAGGAGATGAAAGAGATTTTGACTTGGCATTCCTTCCTCCTGGCACAGAAATAGTGGGTGTTCATGGTGGTGGGGTGTCTGCTACTGTTGTGCGGGTGAGGCAAACAGAGGTGGATCCCCTGTGGGAACAAGGGTCTCCATTTTTAGGGAGCTACAGCATGACTTTCTGGAAAAGGAGCAGGGAGGATAGCATGAGAAGGACTCAACTTCAAATTCACTTTTATTCAAGTGCCGTCCTGAGTGGGCCTTTCTCAAAGATGATGGAAAGAGATTTTCTATGGCTCACAGAACTCTGATAGACATACTTTGCTTGGAGTGAGCTGGAGGACAGTCATAATCCAAGAAACCTGAATCTGAAACTGTCCTAAAATGAGGTATGACAAACTCACTGATACAAGAGCTTCCTAACCTGTTCCATTAAACACTGCTTTATACTGATCCCCATGACACAGCAGGCGAGAGAAGCCAACCATTCCAGAAATGAAAATCCAGATTCTCTCAGTGAGACCTCAAGCTGCCCAAGGAGACTGCTCAAGATAACAGAGGAGCTAGTGGTCCAAAGGAACAACCCTATTTTCAAGAAAACACATGGATTTGGTGAGAAAATGCAACTCAGGAACATATGTTACACAACAAAGACACAGTGTCATGCAGGGCACTGCTCCAGATGGCTGCCTGGGTGGTGCGGGCCACAGGATATGTGGACAACCCAGCCTGGGCTGGACTTTAACACAGAAATTCCTCAGCAAGGAGTTGGAAAGTCCCAGTCCTATTCCCTGTGAGGGAAACAAGAAAGATTTCAGGAATGTTGGAAAGAAAAAAAATCCCAGCCTTCCCCTACCATCACCACAAAATAAAGAGAAACAGAAGGAAAGAGGTGGGGGAAGGAAGGGCAAGACAGCAATCCCTGAAATAAATCTCGAGCTTCCTAGAAGGTAGGTTCTTATACTTTGAGGTGTGACTCCCCCAACTTTCCAATGCAGCACTTTGCACCTGGAGAGAAGGTGGCAGCGTGACAGGCTGAGGGGTCTTCTTCCATCTAAAAATGGTTGTCCCAGCTACTCTACGTAAAATACATACGATGGATGTGCTCTCAGATGGGCACCTGCTGCCCAGGAGGCCTATAAAGGAAACCAATGGAGATACAACACTCTGTAACAGGCTCCCTGCTTTGCTCTTGTTGAGTGCCCAGACCTGTTACTAAAGAAGAAATGGAAACCTAAGGGTCACCTTGAAGCACAGCCAGAAGCTTTTTGGCAGCAAACTCCCCATCGGGCTGGGAAGAAACTGCGTCACCTGAACTCAGACGGGCACCTCCCAGTTCTGCTCTGCCCAGAGGCATCCCTGTTTTCTTCCCCCTCCATCCTCCCAGTCCCCCGGGTCATTTTCATGACAGTTTGTTTCCATGTATTAAAGGAATGACATATACAGAAATGTCGTCTCCTGAGCCCAGCCGGTCATTCGATATCCGCCATCCCCTGTCCTTCAGGACACCGCGGGCACGCATCACCAGGTCCTGAGCTGCTAGAGTGTACCTGTACAGGGAGACAGGAAGGAGACAGTCAGTACAGTGTCAGACAGAGGCCGAGGTCAGGAGAGGCTGGGAAGGAAGAGGTATCACTATCACTTGGTTCTCAGATACCTTTAAAGGAAAAAAAAGTCAAGGTCATCTTTTCCCAAATGTGTGACCTAAGATGTGGGATTATTTTTCAGGTTGTAGATGGTTAAGTCACTAACTAAACAACAACAACAAAAAGTTATTCCTCTGCTGCACCCCCCGCCCCCAGGAGTGAAGCCTGGGGTTAGCGTTTTGATATCATGCTGAGGAGAGTCTCTTTTTGTTACCAGTGCATCTTTTTGTCCTCTTTATTATTTTTAGTATATCTTACCAAAGACCTACTGACTCAGAGTTTTTCCATGGCAAACAGTATCTAGCTAAAGAAGCACATAAGAATGAGAACTACTGTTTACAAGGTATTTTCAGGGCTACATTCCTTTTATAACAAAGGATAGCCATTTTCCACGGAGAGTAGGGATACAGCTCTTTTTGAAATAAATGTTTTAAACAGAGGAGTTGAGTTGAAGACAAATAATAGTTTATGTGAAATATAGCAAGAATATGAAGTTTTGTTTTGTGAATGACTTATAATCATTAAGGTGGATGAGCTATTCCACTGATCCTTATTAATGCCTTGGTTTCCTCTAATCAATGTAAAATAAATGAATCTGAAAATAAGATTGCTCATTGAGATTTAAACTAAAAGCTGAAGAAAAATATTAACATTTAGAGAAAGTCTAATGTAGGAGGTAGCTTGGGGGGTATAGGCCTTGGCACAAAACATATAAAGAAACAGCGGCAGATATCTATCCAAATACTGACCAGGGTAGGGAGATTCTTAGTTGATAGACTTCTAAGAAATTCAGTTCCACTGGCGGGGCTATATTTGGTGTGGGATGGGCCACTCTCTCAGCTATGTCAGTAAACATATGAATGAATCACCTTTATTCTGATTTCCCACTCACCAATAACCTCCTGATTATGATCTGCTTCCTTGTGGAGGCTTGCTTTACAGGGAAAGAGTAAGGCAGCCATTTGACTTTAAGAATATTATTTGTATGTCTCTGTAAATGTCAACTGTCATCTTGGTTTACAGATCAATCTTGTGAGCTTGGTTAAGGTGAGCCCAGGTCTTGCAAATGAATCTATACTTTGTATCTTGATTAAATCAGGTTCTGAACCTGAAAAGCTAAGAGCCAGATTCTGGTTAATCATCAAGAAAATAAACACTCCCTATACGGCCTCTTGGAAGGCAGCCTGTGTCTCTTACAAGGGACCACCCCGATACTGCTAGTGACTTTTCCCCACGTGGAGTCTCAGCCTTCTCTTCAGAAGCCTCTCTGCTTCTCCTGATAAAATCTTTAAAAAATTTACAGATGCTCAAGTTAAGAGACTTGCTTTTTTAAAAAAGAGTGGTGGAAAATGACCTCAGGATTATGAGAGTTCTAAGTTGTAGAGTCTTTGAGAATCAAGTTTACTCATACAGCCTAGGCAGCAGGCAGAAGTACAGCAAATACTACAGAGGAGAGGACAATGTACCCAACACAAATCTAAGTCCTACTAGAGGACTGGGTAGAAGAGACATCTTTTTTTAAAAATCTGTATTGAGGCATTTATTGGCTTTGAGGCAGAAATTTCTCAGTTGCACTTGAGCGATTGATATAACCAGTCATTCCCAACTGTTGTTGTTGGGGGGAAGTTGTTTACTATCCTGGTGATTTTTCAGCATCAGAAACCTGGATGAGTCAATGAGTTGATTCATGGACGGAACATGCCTTAATCCAGCTCATGAGCTGACTGGATGTAGAAAATTACAGCTAGCTATGTAAAACATGGCTGATGATGACAAAAGTCAAAAAAGCAGATGCAGAACTTCTAACACAGGAGTCTGTTTATTGTGGGGTCAGATAACCTCCATGGGTCCTGCAGTCATGGAGAAATGGCTGAGGGATCAAAACAAGGTGAGATGATAATATCTCATGGGATGTATTCAAGTCATGAAGAAAAATATCACTCAGTGAAAGGCAAGAAACCACTGTGATATTGCTATTGCTAGTAACTGCATGTGTTTTGAAAATGGTCAAAATTTTGCTTTGCTATTTTAAAAAGCAGCGTTGGGTCACCTAGTGAAGACAGTTACCCAGGAAACTCATTTTCCTGAGGGTTCTATGTTATTAAGTTTTTATCCATAAATATGGTTGTTACAGCCAGGTGTGGTGGCACATATCTGTAATCCCAGTGCTCCAGGAAACTGAGGCAGGAGGGTCACAGGTTCAAGCTCAGACTGGGCAATTTAGCAGGATACTGTTTCAAAAAACAAAAGGCTGGGGATACAGCTCAGTGTGAAGGACCTAGCTTCAATCCCCAGTACTCCAGCCCCCAAAGTTTGTAAATTGCTTATTCTAAGATAACTTTCTCTCCTGAGATTACTTCCTCTCTTCATCCTTTCTGTCTTCCTTTAGGTGAACACCACCCTCTCCCCCACTGCCCCGAACCCGGGCACTGAGGATCTAACTCAGGACCTTGTGCTTGCCAGGCAGGTGTGCTTCCAGTGAGCTAAATCCCTAGCCCATTTAGGTGGACTTTGTGAGAAAGAAATCTACTCTTGAGTCCTTAATTTTTTTCTTCCTTGGTCTCTTTCCAATACCTTACTAATCTGTCCTTTTAGAGCTCAGTCCTAAGGCAGCTTCCCAATACTCATTCTGCCCAGCCTTCTTCCGACACAAATAACGTTGACCATTTCTTTATCCTTGAAATCTTCTTTCTTAAGCTGTTCTTTCTTTTTTGGGTGTCAATACCATTATATAGCCCAAGCCCTCCTCCTGTGTCTGTTTCCACAACATTGCACAAGTTCTCGCTGATGCTTACTTTCCTTTGTAGGCCCTAATTAAGATTTAGGAAGAACTCAATATATGTTCAGTTAATTTTACTTCCAAGGTGCGACTTTTCCATCCATCACCTTCAGTTAATGGTATTCTAGTCTCTGAAGCAAGAAATCATAGTCCCTTTCAATGCCACTTTTCAATGCCTGGTATTATTTAATTATAAAATCCACAAGGCAGAGTAGAATTTTTAAAGATTTATTTCATCATTAGCATATGGTTAATTAAAATAAAATCTGACCTTACTAAGATATATTTATTATAAAAATTGAAATATCTCAATTTACTGTTGGTATCTCAGTCTCACATACACCCTATTTTGTGCTTTCCATTTATTATTTTTTTGCTTTTTTTCCCTGTGGATCAAATCTAGGGCCTTATTCATTTAGACAAGTGCTTTATTATTGAACTACATCTTTAGCTATGGGGTTAATTAAAATAAAATCTGACCTTACTAAGATATATTTATTATAAAAATTGATATATCTCAATTTACTGTTGGTATCTCACGATCTCATAAAAACACACTTTTTTTTTTTTTTTTTTTTTTTTTTTTTTTTTTTTTTTGTACTGGGGATAGAACTCAGGTCCTTGTGCTTGCAAGGCAGGCGGTGGAACCACTGCGCTAAATCCCAGGTCCAGGATGATAGCTTTCTAAAAATACTCTCCTCCACCAACAAATTTGGCAGTTATTTGGTATTATTTTATTTCTGTTATTTTAGCTGTTATGATTAAATTTTTAATGTATAAGTAAATATTTCCGAGTTCTTCCTAAAAATTAAAAAGATCTTGGATCTTTTGTCTTTCATGTTAATCCCTAATAGTTTGGTTTCAGCTTGCTTCTGTTAGTCATTATCATTTATAATCTAGACATGTAAATAAATGGATGTAATGGACTGAGGGTGTAGCTCATTGGTAGAGCACATGCCTAGTATATATGGACCCCAGCATTGCAAAAAACTAAACAAAGTTACCAACATATCTACCAACTTTTTTTTTAAGTCTACTCCTTGCTTCTAGATTTAATTTCCTTCTCTGGAAGTACATTTTTAGTAATTCTTTTAACGAAGGTCTGTGAGTTTTTGGACAATAAAAATTCTTATTTTTGTCTTTAATGTTAAATAATAACCTTATTAGGTTTGGAATTCTAGACTGAATATTGTTTTCTTTCACTATTTGGAGATATTATTCCACCTATTTGTGGTTTCTACTCTTACTGAAAAGAAATCTCTTTTATCTTTCTAAGTAAATATTCTCATTGGTGTCTTTTCAAATTTTTGTTGTTGATGGTACAAAGTTCCACTAAGATCTAACAATGAGGATTCCTTTTTATTTCTCATGGTTTAAACATTGGTTTTATTCCTTAAATGAAAACATGTAATTTTGGAAAATTCTCAGCCATGACCATTTTGAATCCTTTCTGTATTATGAGTTCCGCACCTAGTCATTTTTAATACTTTTTATTCTGAGACAAGGTTTCACTGAATTGCTAAGTGGGCTTGAGTTTGTGACCCTCCTGCCCCAGCCTCCCAGAGTGCTGGGAATGCAGGTGCGCTCTGCCATGACGAGCTTTCCTCTCTTTCTTTTTGGTATCAGGGATCAAACTCGGGACCTTGGGCTTTTCTGTTTTGTTTTGTTTTTTTTTAAAACATTCTACATAAATGCTTATTTGGCCTTTCCATTTCACCTTCTAGATTTCCCTTCTCTGTGATAATGCTCAATTTGCTAATCATTTCTTTAGTAGTTTACTATTCAATCCATTTTGTGAGTTACTTTATTTCAATGACAATGTTTCACTACTGTGAATTTCTCTTTAGTTCTTTTCCAAATCCATTTTATGATTCTATTTGTACCTGTTTGTCTTCTCTCAACCTGTTCTACTGCATCTAGATTTTCTCTGGGATTTTGGGGCAAGTCTCCCTTGTATCTAGTTAGTCTTTTCATGAATTTGAAGGCAAGACATAGGGGCTCTTTAGAAAGCAGTTATTTAATACGTGCCCTCATTGTCTACACAGACTTAAAAGTTGCCTTTCCTGAAAGACATGATAGGTTTTTGTAGTGCCAGAACAGGTTAACATTAATAGTTCTTTGGCTT